ACATTCATTCGCACAGGCATAGGATGGTGTGGTAAGGCAGCAGTTTTTTCAGAAAAAGGGATAAGGGTTTTAGTGCACTGTAAGTACAAAATAAGACAATAATGTGACATAGTAGCCAAAGAAATCTATGCAATCCTGGGCTTCATTAAGAGCTGCTTAATTATTTTAAAAGGTGTTTTTTTTAAAATACAGGCAAAATGTCCAGAGTAAAGGAGGTGATAGTCCTACTGTGCCCTTCCCTGGTCAGATTTCTGAACTATTACGCTATCTGAACTATTGTGTCCAGGAGGCTCCACAAGGCCCGCCCACTTCTCCCTTTGGTGAGTTCTTCTTGGGGTCTGCATTTTGTAAAAGGGCACATTCATTCATCTCCTGGCCCTATTCCAGCTTCAGGATTTCAAAACCATTCTCTCTCATGCTCCCATCGTAAAACAGGATCAAGATAAGATATAAATTAAATTGATGGACACTAATCTGTCTCCCAGCTTTTCAGCTCTCTTTTGTGTATTATCTTTCTCCAACTGAATGTAAGCTCCTCGAGGACAGGGACTACCATTCTTTTTGCTTATATCTGTATCCTCATCACATAGTGCTTGGTACATGCTAAGCACTTAATAAATACTTGTTTCCTCGTTCAGTTCTGGGCATTTTAGGAAAAACACTGAAAAATTGAAGTATATCAAGAGGAAAATGATCAGAATAGTGGGAGGCATGGAAACTATGCTCTACTGAGATTTAGTTGAAGGAAATGGGGATGTTTGGTCTGGAGAAGAGAAGACTTGAGTACTTGAAGAGCTATCAATCATGTGGAAGAGAGATTAGACTTGTTTTGTTTATCCCCAGAGGCCGAAGTAGGATGGATGGGAGAAAATTGTAGAGACAAATTTTAGCTCAACAGAAGAAGAAATATTTTAACAATGAGGGTGATCCAAAAGTGAAAAAGGTTGTTGGAAGGTAAGTTCCCCATCACTGAAGGATGACCACTTTGGGGGATGTTATAGAATTAAATTACTTCTTCTTAAATTTTTAAAATTTATTTTATTTTTAATTTATGGAATAAAACAAGCATTTCCATAATGCAATATGATAAAAAATGAAATTACTTCTGAAATCCATTCCAAGGCTGACATTCTGACTCTGTGGATGATTTTCAGACTGCAAAGAAAAGGCAAAATATGACTAAAGGGGTGTTAAAGGTTAAGTTAGTGAGGAAATATCAAGAGCACCTAACAATTCTAATTGAGTTTGTCTGCTACTCTAGACAAATTAATTATGCCACAGAGAAATCATGTAGCCCTTTTCATTGCTAAAGACCACATCATAGTGGAAAGAGTATTGGATTACTGGCAGTTTTTAAGCACAAATAGGTGGCTACTTGTTGGAGCTGTTGTAGAAAAGATTTCAGGTAAGCTTGGCTTCATGGCGCACACCTTTATTTCCTGCTACTGGGTAACTGAGACTGAGGCCAGTGGATTGCTTGAGTTCGAGAGTTCTGAGGTGCAGTAGGGATAAAGTCAATCTGGTATTTCCACTAAGTCTGGCACCAATACGGTGCTCCCCTGGGAGCAGAGGGCCACCAGGCTTTTTAAGGTGGGAAAAAAGGTCAAAGATTCTGTTCCCATCAATCAGCAGTGAGGTCAGGCCATGAGTGGCAAATGGAGGTTTAGATTAGATACCCTAAAGCCTCTTCCCACTCTCAGATTCTATGCCCTGGGATTCTAGGTCATTGAGACAAAATTATGTTTATGGCCTGTGTCTTAGCCTACTTTATCACATAGAACAACTCTGCCCATACACTCATACAGACCCAGTTTGATGATTCCAACCGTATTCAATCTAACAACAAGATGCTCAATCTTGTGGTCTCTAACCCCTAAATTCAAAATAGGGCTTTGAGGAGATCTCAGTCTCATCCTGAGGCTAAGGAGCCCATTGGCGAAATTCCATAAATTCTACCATAGCTCTTTGTTCTGTTGCTGCTGTGACAATCTAGCCAGCTGCTTGAGAGATGTAGAGTGAATAGGCAGTCCTTCCCATTTCCAAGGGAGATTGGAAATCTCAAGGCCTCCATTAAGCATGAAATTCTCCCTTCCTGCCTTGGAATCGTAGAGTATCCACTGAGATAGGTGCTGCTGTGCTATGGAGGTAGGAATCAAAGTGAGCACATTGGTGTGAATTATCAGCGTTTAGTACCAATATAGTGATAGTTATAATAAAGGGATTTGGGGGGTGGGGTGAGGAATTTTTTTTTTGTGTAAGGAAATCTCAATGAAGGAAATCCATCTCTACCTCCATGCCCTTGCACTGGCTTTCTCTTATGTCCGGAATTTATTCTCTACTTCCTTACCACTACTTCAAAGAGTTGATATTTTTCCCTTTAAGAGTCAATTTAAGTGCCACCTTCTATATGATGCCTTTCCTGATCTCCCCAACTACTGGTGCCCTCCATCCCATAATACATTGCATTTAACCACTTTGTATTAATTCACTTTAAGTTTATGACATATATACATATATATACACACAAACACATACAATATATACAAGTGTATGTATACATATACGATGTGTGTATATGTGTTTATATATGCGAATATAATTTTATATACCATATGTGAATATATGTTTTGTGTATGTCTATATATATATGTATATATCTATATCTATACACTGTTTATATATATATATATATATACATATATATTTCTTTATATATAAGTTGTCTCCCCCATTAGAATGTTAGCATTTTGTAAGCAGGAATTGTTTTATTCTTTGTACTTGTATCATTTATCTTGCCACTGCCTAGCACAGTGCCTGGCACATGGTAGGTGCTTTACTTTTAAACACTCATTTATGGATTGATTCTGCTTGTCTGGATCAGCTCCTGCTCTGCTACTGATAGTCTTAGAGAGTTGGGGGGTGGGAGAGAAGGCACTGAGCTATTAAATGACTTTGCCAGAGGGTTTATGAAGTAAGATGTGAAGTCAGCTCCTTTAGGTCCCCACTTCACCATGGTATTCTACTTCTCTTACTTTTAGCACTCTGTCAAGGTTCAATACACAACTGGATCCCGACCAGTGTGAATAATAAATACTGTGAAGTGGTCCCATTAGTTGAATTTGCACTACATATTTCCATGGGGCTGGGACCAATCACCATATTTTACATAATTATAACTTCAAATTGTGTGAATTCAAATACATGCAACCACTTCAGGGGATTCATTATTTGCACTGAGTCTTAGTATAGGCAAGATTTTTGTACAAAGAACGTAATTAAGAAAAATGGGGAGCAAATATGCACCTACCACATTTTATTTGAATTTCATTTTTATTGTATTTTCCTCTCTAAAAAGATGACTCATACCTAGAATAATAGACAGCATATGTAGTGGGAGTCAGGAGACCTGGGCTGTAATTTTAGCTTCTGCCCCTAATTTATTATGTTATCTCGGGCAAGGCACTAACCCTTCCTGGGTTTTCTTATCTATAAAATAAATCATAGCATTTGGAACTAGAGGATCTCAGATCATAGATATGATCTTTATAAACCTCATAGCATTATGTGAATAACTTATAAGCTAGAAGGACCTTGGAAGCCTTATCTATACGTCAAATCCCTTTATTTTATAGATGAGGAAATTGAGGCCAAAAAAGTTAAGTGATTTGTCCAAGGTCACACAGGCAGCAAGTGTCAGAGACTGGATTCTGATTCTAGTCTGTTGTTGTTATTTAGTCCTCTTCAATCATAGTCGATTCTTCATGGCTCCTTTTGGGACTTTCTTGGCAAAGATACTGGAGTGCTTTGACATTTCCTTCTCTGGCTCATCTTACAGATAGGAAACTGAGGGAAATGACATGTACAGAGTCACACAGCTAGCAAGTGGAGGTCAGATTTGAACTCAGGTCCTCCTGGCTCCAGGCCAATGTTCTATCCACTGTGCCACACAGCTGCCCCTCTGATTCTCATACCAATGCTTTTCCCACTATACTAGGTTGCTATTACTTTAAAGATGAGGAAACTGAGGCCCAGAAGTATTGTCACACACATAGAGAGAATAACAGAAGAGTTTGGACCAGATCAGATTCCCTTAGGGTTTCAACACTATGCAATTCTTTAACTTTGTAATTTTATTTTGCTATGCTCTAACCCTATAATAATGCCCTGTAACTTACTTATATCACCAGTGACTTTGGAGATCATATATTCTCTGTGATCTTGGCTTTTTTATACTCTTTTGAGAGAAAAAAGGGAGTTTAGTGTAAAGACATTGTTCCTTAAAGGTTAAATATATCAAACACACATGTTGTGTGTGTGCTTACAGTATGCAACTGTGAAGAATTAAGACTGATTTTTCACCCATAGCTTATGGAAACGTCAAATTATTTCCTAAACACAGAACACACATATACATACACACATGAGTTTGCCCACAGGCACATATGCCTGACTGTCCCTTTGATTAGGTTATGACCTCCGCGGGTGCAGAGATCACATCTTTCGTGTTATTTGTTTCTCCTCTCGGCGTCTGGTAGCATCCCCATGCCCTCCACATAGCAGGTACACACAAAATGTTTATTCACTCAGTGACTTACCAGACTACAGTAACGTGACAACCATGGCTCTGCAAATTAGATATCATTCCTCTGGTTGCTCTATTTATTTGACTCTCTGAGTTGGCCCAGAAAAAGTCATTTTAAACAATGAGAAATGATAGGTCCTTTCACAGATATATATCCTGTATCAGACACAAAGTGCTTTTGTTGGAACAAAATTTTCCTTCTGGAAACTCTCTTTGGTCCAGCATCACTTCTTTAAGATAATTTCTCAAAGCTATTTCATCATTAAAGCCTTGTTCAATGTGGCTTTGCAAAGATAGGTAATGATTTGGAATTTAAAAGCTAGCATCTTCATGTTAACAGTCTGCCTTAATGCTAGTTCATTGCTTTTTTATTCAGAGACAGTATCAACACATTGTCACAATAATGGTTGCTGATTACCTTCTCCTGAAGAAGCCTCCAGGTGCTGGAGTTTGAGTCCGGTGTCTAATCTCGGAGGTTTTGAATAAAGAAATAAATAGCAAAGGACACAGACGCTGATGACAAAGGCAAGTAAAACAAGCGCAGCAATTCCCAGTCCAATCAAGGCACCAATGCTGGGAGAGGGGAGAAAACCAACACATCACGTGTACTGGATTGGAACAGACAGAAAACTTCTAGGATGAATACCAGGAGGGATCATATGCCACCTTATCATAACATACCATATCATATTGTATCATATCATATCACATAATACTATGTTATATTATTATTATTATTATATGTTCTAGATATTATATTAACTTATCTAGAACGTGTTTTTTCTCCCCAGGAGATAAACCCAGGAGAATGCAAGCTCCCAGAGGTCAGGACCTATTTCTCCTTATGTCCTTTGTGTCCCCACTGTCTAACATGGTGCCTGGCACCGTAATCCCCTTCTCCGAGTGTGGTGCTCCCAAATTTCTCCAAGGAGAGTTTTCTCCCAGGTTGGTATTCCCTGCCTGATCTAATGGGCTCCATAAATACTGCAGTGAAGTCCCTGGAATGTATTCCCCACAGTCATTTGTTTCAGAGATCAGAAAAGGATGGCTAGGGAAGAAGTACAAAGTTCAGCAAAAAAAAAAAAAAGTCATACACCCCCTCCTCCCTCACCCCCTGGACCTGTGATTTCACTGGTGTGGAGGATGCCTAGAGAAGAATGTCCTCTACCAGTACAGATTGGCATAGTGGGAAAAGTCCAGGCTCTGGAATTGGAGGATCTAGGTTAAAATTCTAGCTCCAGTGCTTGCATACCTATGTGACTGGCTCAACAAGGCACTTGCTAAGCTTCACTTTCTTTATCTGTAAAATGAGAGGCTGGTGGTTCCTGAGGTCTCTTGAAACTCTAGATTTCTACTTTTATATTCTTAGAGAATAGCTTGGGATCCCAAGAATTTGAGAAACTTGCTCAGGTTGACATAGGTAGTTTATGTCAGAGGTAGAACTTGAACACAGGTCTTTGACTCTGAGGCCACCTTTCTAGTGATTTTGCCAAGTTGCCACAGTAAAACAAAATGAATAGGAAAATACTTGTTTGTTTGTTTTCTGTGAAAATGAGGTGCTTCCTAGAGGCAAATATCAACATGAGGATTTCTTTTGGAGGCAAAATAAGCAAGATAATTCTAGGCATGGTACAATGGAAAGAGGGCCTTGGATGGAATCAAAGGATTTGAGTTTGAAGTCCACTTCTGTTCACTACTTGGATGACCTCAGTCAAGTCACTTAACCTCTATGGTACTCAGTTGCCTCATCTTTAAGGTAAGAATCCTGAACTGATCATAGTAGGGTCATTGGTGCCTTCTAAGATTCCTTTCAGCTTTAAATTTATGATCTTGTGGTCTTAAAAAGCAAAACATCTACTCTACAAAGAGAATTTCTTACTTTGGCCTCTGAAAATGTTATTATTATGAAGGAAGAAAAGAAAAAGAAAAAAGACCTAGGTAAGGGAAAACAGGAATTGAAGTGGTTAAACTCAAGAATCTTATTTAGGGGCAGCTAGGTGGTGCAGTAGATAAAGCATCAGCCCTGAAGTCAAGAGGATCTGATTTCAAATCCAGCCTCAGACCAAACACTTGACACTTAGGAGCTCTGTGACCCTGGGCAAGTCACTTAACCCCAACTGCCAAAAAAGAAAACAATCTTATTTAGTCTAATCTCCCATTAATGGTTTGGAAAGGCAAAACATTGGGGAAAACCCTGGAATCAGTCACAGAAGAATTTTCTCTCAAAAGATCACTTATGTCTAGAACTTTAAGAAAAAAATTGTACATATTTATATAGTTTATTACAGTTCGCTGAATTTTGTTGTTCGGTCGTTTCAGTCATGTCTGAATCTTCGTGATCCCGTTTAGGGTTTTCTTGGCAAAGATACTGGAGAGATTTGCAATGTCCTTCTCCAGCTCATTTTACAGATGAGGAAACTGAGGTGAACAGGGTTAAGTGACTTGCCCAGGGTCACACAGCTAGTAAGTAACTGAGGCTATATTTGAAGTCAGGATGATGAGTCTTCCTAACTCCAGGCCTGGCACTCTATGCACTATGGCGCCATCTAGCGGTCCAGTCAGCGAAGGTGCCATGGTCCCAAATTTCTATCAACAGCTATTTCAGAAATAATACCTGCTTCGGTAAGAAGGAAAAGTAGTTCAATGGTGTCAAGATATTAGGGGGACACCCTGTTTTCCAGAAAGCAAGCTATGCCCTGAGCTTGGCATAACAACAATCCTTTGTGCTCACCGTCTGGCAAAATCCCACGTAATTCTTGTATTGCTTGACCAGCACCAGGTGTTCTCGTAGCTCGGACAAGCTTGGCCGAGTACCCACGTTCCGGTCACGAAGCCCTGCTATGAATCCAACTTGTCTCATTGTTGCTGTTACCCCTCATTGTCAAGGTCGCAGCTCACTGTGCAGCCATTGGTGTAAGGATTGAGATCTCCGCACGCTACCTCGGGACCCTCCATTAGGGGTGGGGCCCTGGCACAGGTGTCTAATCTGCCTCCTTGTTTACAAGCCACTTTCCTCACTTTGCAATTAAACTTCTGTTTGATTCCTGACACTCCTTTCTCTAGCCTGCTCTGTTCAGCTCTGCCCATCCACAGGCGAGAGGCCAGTTCAGTCCATTTGACAACAGGAAGAGCGCTGGTTCTAGAATAGGGAAGATCTGAGTTCGAATCCCATCTGTGGTTCCTTCTAGCTGCATAACTTCGGATAAGTTACAATCTCCCCGGATCCCTCATTTGTAAAATGAGGTGGCTGGAGTAGGTGGTCTCTGAAGTCCCTGCCAAGTCTAGATCTATGCTCATGAACTTAGGCTCTTCATATTTTAAGTGGGGAAAAAGTGAATTGGAAGAAAAGAGATAGGATTTTAAAGAGAAAATGAACAAATATACATATGCTATCTTTCTTCTGTAAGCTTCTCCTGAGTAGGGATTGTTTCATTCACTGTATTTGGGGCAGGTAGGTGGTAGAAAGGGTAGAGCAGTGCGCTGGGAATCAAGAAGACCTGAGTTCAAATCTGACAGACACGAGCTAGCTATGTGACCCTATGCAAAGTCATTTATCTTGTTTGCCTCAATTTCCTCATCTGTAATAATAGCACTGACCTCCTGGGTTTGTTGTGTGTATCAAATGAGATAATAATTTGTAAAGCATTTAGCACAGTGCCTGGCACACAGTATATGCTATACAAATATTAGCTATTATTATTATTATTATTATACTTCCCAGCATCTAACTCAGTGTTTGGTACACAGTAAATAATAAATGTCTGCTGATTGATTGATTCATTATTCTTGATCCAGAAGTAAGCATATGCCCTATAACTACCTTGTGACTGACCCCAAAGTAGCAACATTGCACTGAAAATGAATGATAAATCACTGCACGATTTTATTACTGTGGCTATGGTCATCTGCTGGTTTCTAGTAGGCCATACCAGTACTTGCTGCTTTCCAGAAAGTCACTGGGCTCAGATTCCTTAGTCTATTCTCCCTCAGCTTAGATTTCAATCAGTTCCCGGACCTATGTGAGGGAGTGTCTAATTTCATTTTCACTGTAAATATTTCTTCCTAAGATTGAGTCTTCCAGTTGCAGTATCTTCTAGTATTTAGTGCTATTTTTGTGTTTGAGAGCATTTCTAGGCACATTTATCTACCCAGAAGTTCTGCTGTTAGCTGTCATTCCAAGGGTCAGAAAGATCTGTGGTCCCATTTGGGCAAGTTGCTTTGGACAGTGCCCAACCCAGCACACATAGCCATGGAAATGATATCTGATGAATGCATAGTCGTGACAGATAGACTAACAGTGGGAAAAGCTACCTAAAAACGAGAACTAGATCACGAAAAGGTATAAAAAAAAGTTACATGGAACTTTCAAAAACAAGGTTGGGCATTCTGGAGGGAGAATATTTCTACATTTGATTATGAGTTTTGGCTATTATATGTAAAGATCTCCAAAATATCCCATTCATATTTTTTCTCCTGGTGCCACATTCTTTCCTCCTGACATTACTTTGTTATCACCCTCTTCAGCAATGGGTGTAAAGACATTATGTTTATGGGATTCTGATGGGCTACCAGGGCAGCTACGTGGTGCAGTGGATAGAGCACCAGGCTTGGATTAAGGAAGACTTGAGTTTAAATCTGGTCTCAGACAATACCTGTGTGACCTTAAGCAAGTCACTTATCCCTATTTACCTCAGTTTCCTCATCTGTAAAATGACCAGAAGGAAATAGTATCTTTGCCAAGAAAACCCCAAGTGAGATCACGAAAAGTCAAACATGACTGAAGCAACTAAACAATGATGGGCTACCAAGAATGACCACATAGATTTCCCAATAGCTAATTCAATAGGTATTTACTGAATTCCTACCCCATGCTCAGCACTGTGTAATAAGTACTATCTCTAGATGCTAGAGACAGTGCAAATTACAATCAATAAGTGTGTATTAAGTGTCTACTGTGTGCCAGGCATAGGAGATAACAAGAACAAAGAATTAAACAGTCTCTATTTGCAGTGAGCTTACATTCTAGTTGGAGAAATAACTAGCACATACAAAATACATATATGTACAGCATAAGCATAAAGTGAATAAATGCAAATATATACAAAGTACTTAAAAGATAGTTTGGGAGAAAGGGCACTAGTATGGGGGGGGTCAGAGAAGGCTTCACCCAGAAGAGAGTGCATGTTCTGCATCTTAAACAGAATACATTTCAGGGATTCGGAACAGGCTGTGCAAAGACAAGGAGATTGGAGATAAGGGAAGGTAGTGCAGCAATGCCATGTTCCACCTCACTTTCTCCCATTATAGAGAAGGGTCCAATCTCGGGTCCCAACTTCAGTGAGCTGGCCCACCTAGCATCCTCACTTTCCTCAAGGAAAGTCAAAAGATCAAAGCCAAAAGGAATCTTCCACCCCCTCATTCCACAGATGGGGAAACTGAAACCCAGAGAGGTTAAGTGATTTCTTCAAGGTCACACAGAACAGCAGAGCCAATATTTAAACCCAAGACTTTTGATCCCAAATCCAGCATTCCTTCCACTGCACCACCTTTAGGGACAGCTGTCCTTTTCTTACAGCAGCAGTAGAGTCCAAGTACAGGTAACTCCCGGAATAATTTTCCCAATCAGACCTAACTTCATAATGACATAAAAACTCCAGGTTTACTAACTGGAATCTATGAATGGATGAATTATACATTTTCCTAAAGAAATAAAAGGTGACAGAAACATTCTGCTAGATAGGTTCCACTGAATATTTATCAGTATTAGAGGATGTTAGGGAGCTATCTATTGGCTTCCACATTTCATAATGAATCATTTCTGTGTGGCGCTTGGGTGCTTCTTGGAGACCCCAGTGGCCAAAATAAAAATTTCTATTATATCCAATGTAGGAAGAGCAAACTTTCTATTTGAAACTTTGCCACCATTACTCAGAGTCTTTATTTCACCAGACCAGCCTAGTGAACCACTCATTCAAGCATCAAATAATATGGTGCCTGCTGTACCAAGCACAATTGTTCTGAAGAAATCCATTATATTTAAGCCTAAATCATCATACTGTCTGACTTATTGCCAAAATAGCAGTACCTATTTGAACTTAATTCAGGAGAATACTCCCCTTCTGAAATGAACAAAAACATTAAATATAAAAATGCAGTTTTATTACTGATAGAAATAATATTTAGCCACTTACTGTGGATTTGGGTAGTGCTGCCTCCCAAATCATGTAAAGTAGCTGAGAGTAGGGCACCCAACTACAGCGAGGGGATACAAAGGATGCTTTTATTTCCCACAAACCCTGAGGTATATGCATTTTCCCAAATGAAGAAATTGTCATATGTCACTAAAAGTAAAAGCTCTTTAAAGTAGAAAAAAAAGCACTTTATAAATAAAAGTGATGATCATATTTCAGTTGTACTTCTTTTAATGGGAAAAGGAAAGAAGCAAAATTCTGCCTGAGGTCAGATCATTTGTCCACAATAGGTAAGGTACATTATGTAAAACAAAATTGGAAAATAAATGGAAGTGGCATGCAAACTTTCTGCATAATATTATCCACTTTATCATAGTGATGATGTCTAAAGGATTGAACAAAACAATAGGCCACTCTGTTAAACTGAACTAAGGGATGGTGTCAGAACATCTGAAAAAAAAAGGCGGAAGGGAGGGAAGGAGAAAGGGATTGGGATAGGGATGAAGGGAAGGAAGAAAGGAGAGAGGGGAAAAGAAGGAAGAAAGGGAAAAGACAGAAGGATAGAAAGAAGGGAGGGAGGGAAGGAATAAAAAAGGAAGGAAGGAAGGAAGGAGAAAAGGGGGAAAGAAGGAGAGAAGGGAGGGAGGGAGGGAAGAAAGAAGGGAAAGAGGGAATAAAAGAAGGAAGGATAGAACAAAAGAAATGAGCATCTCAAAAGTAGCTCTTGATTTAAAGGAGGGAAACAAAACAGCAAAGGAGTTTACAGCATTAATCAGCAAATAATTTATTAGTGCCCCACTGCCTTTTCCACTTTTATATATCAATTGATTCTGCCTTACAGTGAATATTTCTCTGAATCTTCTGGATGAAAATGCAGAGTAATTGCTCTCCTTGAGTTAAGGAGTTCAAATTCAGTGGGCTTTCTCTGCCCCTCAAATGGGCCTGATTCACTTTATGTGGTCAGAAGCAAACCTGGAAACGGGAGCCCCTACAAAGGACACACACCCTGGATGGGGGGGGTGCTATTCTTGTGCCCTCGATATTCTCAATTTAAAACATATGCACAATGGCTTTATCAGGACAAATATTTATCCCTTTCCTTCTCGAACAGGACATGATTCTCAAGAACTGAACTCTTCACAGTCAATATCCTTGGATGATGAAGAAAGAAAATAGTTCTTCCCAGTTCAATAAGGAGATATTGAGGAGGGGCTGGACTCTGAGAGCAATGAGAGGATGTAGATAGGGAAGGGATGGAGAAAGCAGAGAGCGTGAGGAAAGAGAGAGAAGGGGAAGGGAGAAAGGAAGAAGATGAGTATGGGAATGGGATGGGAAGGGGATCAATATGGGGGAAAAGATCAGGATGCAGTCGGGGAACAGAATCAGAATGGAAATAGGGATGGGGATAGGATGGGGATGACGATAGAATGGGAATGACGATAGGGGTTGGCTGTGGAATCGGGGACAGGACCTTTTGCTCTGAGACCAAAGACTGTAATATTTCTAAGGCTGGAGAATTCTCTCTAGGTGCGCACATAAAGCAGCCTGCATTATTCCGTTAGTCTCCACAGGTGGCTGTGTCTCTCTGGCTTTGGGGCTGGGGAAAAGGAGCGGAGGGGTGGATGCCTGGGTCCCCGGTGGAGGGTGCTGCAGATCGCTCTCCATTTGGCTGTCCCAGCCACTTCCAGCCCCTCTCTCCCCTCTTCCCCAGTTCCCACACCCTCACCTGAGGCTCCACATATAGCTGTACTTGTAGGGGAAGTAGCTGCCCGGCTCGCTGCAGCAGTACTTGAGGTCTGCGAAGCCGCAGCAGTATCTGAGGCTGGCCCCCTCTCCACGTCGGGGGCATTGGAAGGTCTCCACGAAGCTGTGGTTGAGGCTGTAGTAGCCCGAGCAGACTTGGCCGGCCTCGATCATCTCCACTGCAAGCACAGCCTCGGAGAGGCTCCCGACTCTGGGCTGTGTACCTTCAAAGCCTGCGCCCAGCCCCACCTCAGCTTGACTCCTGCTCTCCGTTCTTCGCAATCCCGCCACCCCCTGTAGCCGAATCACCTCTTCTGGTTAGGGGTTTGGCAGCTTACGCGTCTGGTCTCCTTCCTGCCCCTACTGCTCCTTCTGCTGCCTCTCTCCACATGGAGCTTAACTCTGGCGTCTCTCTTTGGCTCCTGGACCGCCTTTTTTTTTTTTTTTAAATCTGCTGGCCTCTGTTCCTGTCACCACGGTCCTCATCTTTGATACTCTCTCTGTGTCTCTGTCTTGCTGTTTCTCTCCTCCCTGATCTTTTCTTCTCTTACTTATTTTACTCACCAAAGTGATCTTTCTTTCCCTTCCTAAAAAGAGACTGAGAATAAAGGAAGGAACCAAGGGAGAGAAATTGGGATGCTAGAAAAGACTTTGCAATCTAAGCATATAGCACAAAGTTACCATGAGCTCTGGACTGATGAAAATTCTGGGAACAGTAGAAAGGGTTGGATATCTCTGTCTCTGTCTATCTCTGTTTATGTCTCTTTTTTCTCGTTGAAATGTGTGTGAGGGGAAGGTCAATCAAAGGTTCTGGGGAGATAAAGAGGAACTTAATTTAGTTAGGTTTCCATTTATTTTTATATATACTCACCCATAAGTACATAAAAGTCAAGCATCTCATTAAAAATTAAATACATTTTATTAAATAAATATAAAAAATACTTTAAAATATGCTTCACTTCCATATTATGGAGAGAAAATGAAAGGAAGAGAAAGAGAGGAAGTAAGGAAAATAAGGAATGAGAATCAGAAATAATTTACATTTATATTATATATGTATATATTTGTATATAAAGGCTTAATATTATTATCATTATTAATATCCTATATCTATATCTAAAAATCTATGTAGATATCTATATCATCATAGAGAGACAGACAGGCAGGCAGAGAGACACAGACAGAATCAGAGAGACAGAGAGAGACAGAGGAACTTGACAATGGTAGCAAGGTAGCAAGGGCCCAGGGGGAGATTGGAATTTGGGTCTTCTTGCCTCCAAGTTCAGTGCTCTATTCACTGGTACTTAATCAGTATCCTGATACTGATACCTAAAAAGTAGAATGACAGGAAGCAAGGAACAGACAGCCTCAGAGGAGTTGGAAAGAGAAAAGAAAGTAGAGAAAGAGAAGGAAAGACATAAAAAGGAGTCCCAGCAGGTTCTAAGAAGTGTTAGGTGTTCTCCAGGTTTTTCCCTGGATCCATCTCTGCCCACTGCAAGAAGGGATTGTCTCCTGATTATCTCTGGCAAGAAATGCATGTCTCCCTACAACACAGCACTAGTCACAGCCAGACTAGGAATGGACCTTCACTAATGTTATTTCATAGGATTACATATTTAGAGCTGGAAAGAACCATCTAATCCAACTCTTTCATTTTATAGATGAAATTGAGAAGCTAAAAGCTCAAAGTAACTGTGGCAAGCTGGAATTCAAACTCAGAGCCTATGACTTCTATTGCAGTTTTCATTTCACTGCAACATTCTGCCTCCTATATACCTCTTTGCTACTACCCCTACTCTAACAAAAAATTTGACCTCTGTTAATTATTTATCTTGCATATAACTTGCTTTGTATATGTTGTCTCTCCTATTAGACTGTAAGCTCTTTGAGGGCAGGAGTTATCTTTTTTTTTATCCTGAGTGCTTAGCATAGCGCTTGGCACATAGTAGGTATTTAATAAATGTTAATGATTGATTGATTGACCACAGGAAGTCCATTACCCTCTGCCTCAGTTACCATCACCAAGAGTAGATATGATGACTATAAAACCCAGATTTCCTTTCTCTCTGACACCAAGAAAAGGTATCCCCTGCCTAACTTGTACTGGAGTTAGCAAAGCACCCCAATATCTCCCACAAATATCTCCTAAGTCCCAAGAAATCTCTTTAAAAGATCATTTAAATCACCATACCTATACCAGACCTAGAGTGGAGTGATTGAGAAAAGAGGAATAATTCCTTGTCATATGTTCTCTTGTCATACCCTACTGTTGGCTTAGGCTGCAGATGTCTATTTTATTGTTGTCGTTTCTCTATTCAAAAGCCTTCAGTGGTTCTTTATTACTTCCTACCAGCAAGTCCAAACTGATCTAGTATAAACTATACCACCCTTCTATGTACTTTCTAATGCAGAAGGTAATGACATGAGTGTAACTGGAAGAATTCTGTAAATGCACATCCTTCTAAGTTAGACATTATCTGTCTGTCTCCCATTTATCTATCATCCCATTTAGCCTTTCAACCCCACCTTCCACAGCTAAGTCCAAAACGACAGCCAGGACAATCAGCTGCTTCAGGTATCAATTGTTTTACTGAAATGATGAAAGAAGTTGAAGGTTAAGAGTGTTTATAGCTTAAAAAAGACCAATCATTTAGTTTGAGGACTAGGCTTGAGCAACTTCCTACACTTCTTAAATAGCTGGAATCTTCTTGCAAGTCCTAAGTCCCTCATCTCTTGTCCTCCACTTCTGGAATACAGGGTCATCTCTCAACTACAAGTATCATTAGTCATTTCTGTCTTAGACTACCAGTATCTATTTTCTGAGCCTTGATTACATTCTAACCAGAGGTTATAACACTATGACACAATTTTAAACATGTATTACATTAACCTGACACACCTTTCTGACTACCCATAAGTGGAACAGAAAAATACGTTTTTGCCAAAACTCGAGGTAAGGTCTGTCGGGTCAAGTTCAACGAATCTTTGTGAAGCAAAGCGAGAAACCCAAAGTTTAGATAAGATGTGGCCTCTGGCCTCATGGGGCTTCAAGTCTAGTAGACAGAGATACATATACATACGTGGCCACCAGGTGGTAGTATGTGGCAAGCTTTGGAGGTTTAGGTGAAAAAAAAAATAGTGACAGGAATAGTCCCTTGCTCTCTTTTTTAGCCCCCACCTTCAGAGCTTTAGGGTATTCCTGCTCCCCTGAGATGACATCTTCTTCTTCCTACCACATGGCATGAGGATAATGATCTTACTGAGGTTCATGCCTCCTGCTGAAGGTGGAAGCCTCACTGAGATGCCTGACACTCTATGCCCTTTAAATCTTGCTTACTCATGACTCAGTAGCTTAGGAGTTATCCTTCTATCTCTGCTATTGAGGAGATCATAAAAGTTAACAAAATCAAAATTATAAGATGCTTTCTCATTCAACTCGGCCCCAAACCAGGGAATTCACGCTTACAGAACTCTGGGGGGTCACGTCCATGTATTAGGAAACTGACCTTCTGGTGGTATAGTTTGTGGAGAACAAATTTGCTGATAGGAGTTAGTAAGGAGCCACTGAAGGCTTCAGAGTAGGGAAATAAGAAGAAGAAAGTAAAAATCCACAGCCCAAGTCGACAATAGGGTAAGACAAGACAGAGCACATAACTGGTCTCTTAGAATTGTTTCTCTTTTCTCAGTCATCCTATTCTAGGTCTACTCTAAGTAGTTTGATTTAAATAATCCCACACAATTGCATCCAGAGAGATTCCTTGGAACTTGAGAAGTAATTTGGGAGACATTGAGGCCTGGCATTTTGGACCTCTGTCCTATTTAGTCCTTTGTATGCCAAGCTAGTCACTGGTTTCCTCCATTTTCAATCCCCCTGTATGCTATTAAAAGTTTTTATTTATTTACTTTTGTTACATATTAAGTTCTAAACTATTTCTCTCCCTCCCTATCCTGAACTACACAAGGCCACCATTTGATGCAGATTTATAAATATCTGTAAAACCATACTATGCATACTTCTATTTATCACTTCTCTGGAGGTAGATAGAATCTTCCTTCACAAGTTCTTTATAGCTGATTTGAGTATTTATAGTACTTAGAATAACTTGGTTGTTCACAATTATTGTTCAAACAATATTGATGTTGCTGTATACAACATTCTCTTGGTCCTGTTCACTTTTCATTAAGCAAGTTTTCCTGTGTTTTTCTAAAATCAACTAGCTCATCATTTCTTACAGTGCAGTAATATGCCATCACAATCATATATCACAACTTGTTCAGCCATTCCCTAATTAATAGGCATCCCCTCAGTCTCCAGTTCTTTGCCACCACAAAGAGAGCTGCTATAAACATTTTAGAACATATAGGTACTTTTCCTTTTTCCCTGATCACCTTGGGAAACCTAACAGTGGTATTACTTGGTCAAAGAGCATACACAGTTTAATAACTCTTTGAGCATAATTCCAGATTGTTCTCCAAAATGGTTGGATCAATTCACAGTTACACCAACAGTGTATTAGTGTATGCTACTAATGAACAGATGTGAGTCATAAATCATTTATCACTATTCATGATTTATATGAGATAAAATCAGGAATTAGAAACAGTTTAATAAAATAAAGAAATCATATAGAAAATACATGCCAACTGCCAGCATAAGGGACAAGGTGAGGGAGGTGCAGTCCCTCATCCTCTCATGGACTAGGGCAATAGCCTGCAGGTTGGCCTCCTTGTTGCAAGTCACGTTTTGCTCTAGTCCATCGTCCATTCAGCTGTCAAAGTGATCTTCCTAAAGTGCAGGTCTGATCATATTTACCTCCTCCTCAATTTATCCTGCATATAGCTTGTTTGTACATAGTCCTTTTTATGTTATCTCCCCCATCAGACAGTAAATTTTTCCAGAGGAGGGATTTGTCTTTTGACTTTCATTATATCTCCAGCACTTAGCACAGTACCTGGTACATAGTAGACATTTTAAGTAAAATTTTGACTGATTGACAAAACCCTCTTGTCTTCCCAACTTCCTACCACCCTCCTAGTTGCACATGCTCACAACATTGGTGTCATCTTTGACGCCTCATGCTCACATATCCAATCCATTGCCAAATGTTGTCATTTCTACCTTCACAATATCTTTCGAACATGTCTCCTCTCCACTTGCACAGCCACCAACCTAGGTCAAGCCTTCATCGCCTCTTGCCTGGACTATTATAATAGTTTTCTAATTGGTCTTTCTGCCTCAGGTATCTCCCCACTCCTGTCCATCCTCCACTGAACTACCAAAATGACATCCCTATAATGTAGATCACGTCACTCCTCTATTCAATAGATCCCATGG